TTGATTGTATGACTCATTACGACAAACTTATCGCTATTACCGCCCCTTAACTCCAATCGCTTTAATTGGCAAAAGTTTTCGTTAATAGTTGTGACAATCGCTCGCATTTCGTCAGTTTTGGGACCAAAATAGCCAAACGACAGGCGCTTTAAACGCCGACATTTGAGACCAATTTGTTTCCAATGATCTAATATTAATGGAGTCCACGGGTTGTCAACCCATCCGTAGTGCCAATCAATACGCAAATCAATTAATGCCGGCATTCGTGACAAACCAGTCATCAGTATATTCATTGACTTTTCATTGCAGTTATTATAAGCCATTTGAATGTCAATTGATTTCAAACTCTTTCCATACTTTTCGACAAATACTGCAAAACTAGTCGAGTCATCATTCGAGTACTTAAATCGAAAATTTTGTAACTTTTGAAACAAAACTTCATTTCTATCACCACTTAATACATACGACAGACTGATATTGCGATTATGAAAACTGGTCCTAAGTTTTACTAAATTGTGACACAATTTAATACTTTCCACAAAATGTCTTTCAATGGCTTCACCCATAATCACATCCCATTCAATAGACACCAACTGTTTGCCAAACCTATCCATAAATCTATGCATAGTTTCGGTACTAATGTCGAGATACGTTGGCATAAAAATCGCGTTCAAATGCTCGCAGTGTTTGATAATTGAGTCAAACATTGCGTTATTTAACGTGAAATTAGTTTTAATGAATCCAATGGTTGTAATGTTTGCACACTTTCGCAGTATTATCTCAAATGACTTCTCATTCATTTGATGGCTATTCACACCGTTATAATAGAGCGACAAATGCATGGATGAGGTCATCATATGTCGGATAATAGCCGGGTTAACGGTTCCCAACTCTGTCTGTGTCTCGTATACGACTCTCTGCCACTGTTTGGACACACATTGACATCGGAACCGGTCTTCGAGTGATAGGAAAGACAATAAGTGTTGACACAAATCATCACCGAATCGGTCTAAAGAGTCTTTCGGATAGACTTTGGACTCATTTGTCGGACATCTTAAGGGCAACCCGTCGAGTGATAACTCGTTGCCACCGATTGAACACATTTTGGGCGCAGAACTAAAGAAAAGTTTTTTAAAAAGTAATTAATACTGAAAACGAGTGAATCATTGAAATGAATGCTTCACACAATCAAATCAAATCTCAGACACTGTTTGCAAACACATTGAGTGACAGACAGTGAATGAACTCACAGTAAACACCAACACGAGTGCCATCTCTCGCAGTATATGTTAACCTAATTTGAATGAAATAAAACTTTTACTACAGTTACTGTACTATAGTATAATAATAAAAACTTTATTATTGCGAACTAATAATAAACATTATATGAGAGCCCGTAATTGCGACAAATACATATATGAAAGCTTGTAATAGTTTTATTTCATAAAATGAATATTGTAGCATATTTTTGAACACAATTAAATTACTTCAAAACCTACATAACTTTATAAATATCCAGCGTAAAGTATAAAACAATAAGTTTTGTAATTACTTACAGCAAATACAAGTATAATTTGTGTATTATAACAACATTAGGGATTCTTTTTATTCAAAAATCATGAATTTATATTTACTCGTTATTAGCTAATAATAAAATAGTAAAAACGCTAAACAAACGGCTAATCATTTTGTGGCCCTGTAGTAGCGCCGGTAGTATTATCCTTAATTAAATACTCGACGCACAGGTACTCCAGGTTTGTAACGCCCGAATGGATAGCCGTCTGCAGGACATCGTTCATGACAGAGGTGTCCGTCCTATCGAACAGCTGTCTGTCCCACTCGGACAAAACCAGTGCACCGGTAGGTTGGCTGTCGTAGGGATTATCACTCGACTCGATCGACACGTCCGCCGAGTCCCAATCGGCCACGTGATGGTCGACCCATTCGCACAGCACAGCCAGCGCTTTATTTGTGGCCCATTTCTCTGTGAAGGGAATGGCATCTATGGGGCGACCCTTTTGCACACCACTGGCCAGCGCTGATATGATAGTGGCGACGGCCGGTGTCACCGACAACTGGCGGATAAGCCCCCGGAGGCCACACTCGGACACCACTCCGTCCGCACTCATGAATAGTATTTTAATGCTGTCATCAATAGGAACGGTATTATCGCCCAGGGATGTCATATTTTGTTTATATCTTACTTTTTAACACTTTATAAATAACTTTATAATGTCGTATAAAGTTAATAATGATTTGTCCCTTAAATTGTAAAATATATGCTGTTTTCCAGTGAATGCCAGCTATTTATACGTCGACTGAGAGATAATAGTACTTAAACTAAAAGTTTACCCTAATTAGTGTATGCGCACATATTGTTTATATATGCTAGATTAATTTACGATATAATTTCGAGTAAATAAAGTATTTCTATAAATAAAGTTTAGGGTTATGTTGAGATAAGTTGTAATATAAAGGGAGAGAGAGAGAGATTACGTAATTATAGACGTAGTAACAGACATAACAGACATTAGTAACAGACAGCATATGCGCATTCAATTGTTTTGTATTGAAACTAATAAACATTTCGCAAAGACCTTGAACAAAAATTTTGTTACAAAATATTGATGAAAATATTTTGAAGTATTCAATAATCAAAACAATACCCTAAGTCAAGTGAAGTGAAGTAGGATTCCCAACTCAATAACAAATTTATAAATTTTGGATATAATTACTTAATTAATATAACACGGTAAGATATTTATATAAATGTACAATTAAAAATATTAACTTTAAATTAACATGTTAAATTTATAATTGAATATTTTTGAGGCAACGCCTATTTTTAGCACATTATTATATATAAAGTTTTTGGCAAATATAAATTTTAGCTAATTCAATGATTATATCATTTTTGTAATTTTCTAAAAAGTAGAATTAATATTATAATAAATTTAATAATTAAAATTTATCAATATTTTATAAATGACCCGGCCATAAATGTACTTGTTTATAGCAGTACCAAAACATGGATAAAATACAACTAAAAGACCTGGATATTAGTCTGGAGGGCAACAAACGGAACTACATGCCCGGCGACACAGTGAATGGTACGGTGAGCTTCACAGTAACCGGTGGGCGAATGGAGGTGTCCCGGGTGAGAATCGCGCTAACATGCCAGACTAAAACAAGCTGGGTCGAAAATCCTGGTCTACGTCAGCACAGGGAAGGCCATACTTATAGCGACCAAAAGACATACATTCACTTTGTCTATAAAATTCCCGATCAATGTATGAATTAGGGGTGGGGTGGGGGTGAGTATAGTATGACCCTGATCACTCAGAATACATCATTATATTGTTTAATTGTAGTGGCATTAAAACACCTTGAACCTGGCAAGCACCAAATACCCTTTGATTTTAAACTGCCTGTTGAGTTAGTATAAAACTTTAAATAATAATTATAAAATAAGATAATGAATACCCTGTATAACTGAGCAGGGACATTGCACCATCGTACGAGAGTGACCACGGAGTGATTGAATACTATGTGGAAGTAACCATCGATGAGACCACTGTGGACGAGGTGCAGACGGTTAAGACAGGGATCACAGTACAGGCTCCCATGCGAAACAATTTGCACGTATGTCCCGGATTGAGCATGGTGATTGTATTTATTTGTCACTAAATATTACACTCAAAATAACTGTAAATTAGGTGTCGGTCGACGGCACCGTTGAAAAGGTGTTCACGTTTCCCAGCGTTGGAGTTGGATCGGTAATATTCACTAACCTATCATATTTAGCTTTCTATAATTTAAATTGATCTCGATCACAGATCAAAATGTACGCTAGCGTTGTGAAAAAAGGGTTTGCATCAGGTATGTTTATCATACTTTATGTTTATGTTTCACACTTTAGATGGAATGCAATATATTTTAAATTGTCTCATGAAATGAACTAGGACACCGGATAGAAGTGGACTCCTTTACATGGAACAGGTCGAGTCTGGACGCGACACCCCGGGTCACTCTATACCAGACACAGGTCTACATGTGTGGCGAACGGCATAAGGCAGTGGATGTGGCCCTTACGGACGCCCTCGTGGGTCAGGTGATTAAGGGTAGTGCCCAGGGTATGGAATCATTTGTACTGACTATTCCCGACGGCCTACCCCTGTCGTTCAAAAGTAGCTTGATCACAGTGAAATACTTTGCGCATTTGACCCTGGACATACCGTACGCTATTGATCTGCACATAAACTTACCGATTGTTATCACTACAAAAGAGGCGCTAAATAACGAAATAATAATAACCTGAACTAATAATTTGAACTTGTTCAATATATATCATTTAACTTTATATTATATACATTATTGTGCTCGTTATTTTAATCTCGATAATTTATTTTTCATTATATTCTACACTATTACCTGTTTACTAATTAAAACACTTTATTTTGTTTAAAATGAATGGTTTATGTAAAATACTGTCCTCGCACAATTATGTTAGGAATATACGTATTCATACAAAACCAGTTCATAAACTTTGATTTAATTATACAAATGCAATGTTTAGAATTTAAAGTCTAATTATTATTAGACTCTAATATAAGCAAATTTCACACAATTGTTAATCAAATTAATCATTATTGAAATTATTAAAATAATCTCGGTAAAAACAATTTAATATTTAGTTAAAAAACTCGAAAATATACAAAAAAAAGTGACATTAACTGAATATACAGTAATATATATGATTCTGTATGACATTGTGTTAACGCAATCGCAATACAATAAAAGTGTGATTTCGTAAACAACTGAAGGTCACCACTAACTAAAATGTTTGTGAGTCATTGCATACAGTGTATGCCATACAGTACTGGTAAACACTAGAATATTCTGTAAACACTGTCTGACAGACATTGGCTTCACTGCCGAACGCATTCGCATTCATTCGCAACCCCTTTCAGTATCGATCGCTTCGCCGCCAAACACATGAAAAAAGGTATATAACTAGCGCTGCGTTTGTTAAACACGTATAAAACAAAACCAATACTCAAATCTTGAACTGTATTGCAGTATATTTACTATTAATTAAATCCTATTATAACTACTGGTTATCATCGGTGAGAGACAATGGCTTTGGACCTCTTCTCCCCGCACCGGTCGGGCCGTAACTATTGGGATGTGTGGCGATGGCCGGAGAACCTAAGCGGACAACACTTCGGGCTCGACGTGAACGAGATGTTGGCGGCCGGGGGTCTCCGTAGCGGCACCGGTGGGTCGCAAGTGGTGAACGCCGGCGACCGGTTCGCCGTACGACTCGCCTGTCAACACTTCACGCCGGAAGAGATTACCGTCAAAGTGGTCGACCATCAGCTCGTCATACACGGCAAGCACGAGGAGCGCACCGACAGTCACGGATGGATTCAACGAGAATTTACGCGCCGGTATGTAGAGAGGGGGTCAGGGAGTGGGAGTTTATTAAGTTTATTAAGTTACCTATCTATCCACTGATTAACTTATTGGATATATACTGTAGGTATGTATTGCCCGATGGTTGCGATCCTGAAAAAGTGGTGTCCAGTTTGGATGCGAAGGGCATACTGTCCATAAAGGCGCCCAAAAAGGCTGTGCCCCCACCGGACAACAACGAGCGTGTTGTTCCCATTACCGTATTCCCGCGCGACCCCCGGCATGCCGTTATAAGTGACGCTGATGAATACAAAAATAACTTAATGGTACTCCATCGGCACGCCGGTATAAAGTGAGCCACATATTTATGAATGGTCACGCATAGGGTGGAACCAAAGCGATTCTGGTATTAATTTTACTTATATTTATTTTTTTGCATAAACCTATTTATTCAACAAAAATAAACAGTAAAATGTTACAATTATAAAGATATTTGGTTTTAATTTATTTTTAATATAACAAAATATTAATAATTTTAAAATTAGTAAGATCGTATTTTAGACCTCACTTATTGTACCCCGGGGTAAAACGGCAGTCTCATCAAACTCACTTTACACCGGCATGCCGGTGGTTGCGCGAGAATACGGTAATATTAAAAAGTGAACATGATCATGTTGACCTCGAGCTGAGTGATACTTGACAGTCATGTTTTAATTTTTAATGAAAAATCACACTGGTATTTATTGCACTGATATTTATTAATTACTGTACATAATAACAATTGTATTTATAGTACAGTATATCAATATATAAATTATGTTTTTTCCAAATTAGTGTTTACAGTTAGTATAATAATTACTTTGAATTAATTTTAATTAACCTCGAACATTTATATTTCAGATAATATGATAGACTATATTATAAAGTTTGAAAATAAAATATTTAAATTTTGTTGTTATATATACCAGTAACAAATTATATATTTACTCGAATACTATAATAATATTTATCATTTAATTTATCAATTATAAATTAACGTTTAATACAATAATTCCTTATCATTCATGTTTATATAAACTTAATGTTTATGTATTTGTTATTTAATAAAATTTACGAAATTAAAGTATTTTTGATGTTTTCCTATGTATTGCTTAATATTATGTAATACTGTAGTACAGTATGATAACAGGAAACAGGAAAATAAAATGCAAATGTCCTTGAATAGATTTGATTTATCTAGAATTTTATATTATATAATAATTTGCAATTTTAATATTGTTATGCCTATCAAGTTAAATTAATCAGGTATGAGTATATAAAATTAAAATGAATTTTCAATGCATTAATATACGTATTCATACAAAACCAGTTCATAAACTTTGATTTAATTATACAAATGCAATGTTTATAATGTAAACAGTCTAATTATTATTAGACTCTAATATAAGCAAATTTCACACAATTGTTAATCAAATTAATCATTATTGACATTATTAAAATAATCTCGGTAAAAACAATTTAACATTTAGTTTAAAAACTCGAAAAATATACAAAAAAAGTGACATTACTATTACTATTAACTGAATATAATATATGTTTGTGTATGACACTGTGTTAACGCAATCGCAATACAATAAAAGTGTAATTCCGTAAACAACTCGAGGCTTGACTGCAATACAGACACACCAGACATGTTGACTGCAACGCATTTATAAATTGCTATAATCTATATATAATTATAGTATAATCCGTAGCATTATTGAATAAATCGCAAAAATGGTCTGGCTAATGCTACCGTTGGGGTCAGCCGTTGGGCTATGGTTGGGGTCAGCCCTCTCTGGTGATGAGGATGAGCCCGAGTATGACTACGGATACCACGACTGCGCGGACCGGTGTTACGGTGCGACCGATCGCTGTCACAACTGTTACGATAGGGGGCCGACCCCCACATCCCGGGCCTTCTCCGTGCGGGTCGACTGTCGACACTTCCGGCCTCAAGAGGTACGCGTGAGTTGTGCGGAGAACAATGTGGTCGTCCACTGCCAGCACCGGGAGGAACAGGACGCGCACGGATGGGTGGAACGGGAGTTCAAGCGCCGGTACGAGTTGCCCGACAACTGCCCCCCGGACACAGTGGTGGCCACTCTCGACAGGAAAGGTATGCTATTGATAGAGGCTGGCAGTGAGCGGCCGACACAAGCGGCTAACGAGCGACAGATACCCGTCAATGTGTTGGCGCCCATCGGGTCGGTATGGAGGGCTCCCTTACACGCCATGGAGTTCCTTAATCGCACCGGTATGTCGGCCGGTATGAGACGTCCGCCATACTATTACGTCAACTATTAATTGATTTGCTTATTAATAGTTGCTATTATACTCATTATATTTGTAAACATCATTTAGTTTTTAGTTTTTGTAACAAGCATGTTTATTTGTTTAATTTAAATAATTTAAATTACATTTCTTTGTAATATTAAGAACTATAATTTAAATAAATATTTTTTATATTTTCATTAAAAATAAATGTGTTTTAATTATTTTGGAGTGTGTGTGTGTGTGTGTGAGAGAGAGAGAGGTGCGAAATGAGAATAATTTCAAAATTCCTCAAAATATAATACTTTATAATTATCTCGAATTTCTATTTATTTCAAATATTTGTTGTTTTATCGCAAACATTATAACTATTTTTATAGTAATTAAAATACAAAAACACAATAATAGGGGAAGTGAGAGGGGGAGTTTGTTTTCAAGTTTGCAATCGACCTTAGAAGCGACACTCACGTTAGGCCTATGTGTTGCCAATCAAGAATCCGCGAGTTTTCCGGTAGTGGGTACGGGCGGGTTGGGCTCAAACTCCACGGGTTTGGGTCGGGTTTTGATTTTCGGTCTAAGTTTGACTTCTACCATATAGTACTGGTAAACACTAGCATATTCTGCAAACACCGTCTGCTATACTGTCTGACAGATGTTGGCTTCACTGCCGAACTCATTCGCACTCATTCGCAACCCCTCTCCGTATCGATCGCTTCGCTGCCAAACACATCAAAAAAGGTATATAACTATTAGTAGCGCTGCGTTTGTTAAACACGTATAAAATAAAACCAATACTAAAATTATTTACACTGTATTACAGTATATTTATTACTAATTAAATCCTATTATAACTACTGGTTATCATCGGTGAGAGACAATGGCTTTGGACCTCTTCTCCCCGCACCGGTCGGGCCGTAACTATTGGGATGTGTGGCGTTGGCCGGAGAACCTAAGCGGAC